GATCTCAAGTTGTACTACAGAGCAATAGTAATAAAAACTGCATGGTATTGGCATAAAAACAGAAAGGAGGATCAATGGAACCGCATAGAAGACCCAGAAATAAACCCACACACCTATGAATACTCGATTTTTGACAAAGAAGCCAAAACCATTCAATGGAAAAAAGACAGCATCTTCAACAAATGGTGCTGGTCCAACTGGATGTCCACATGCAGAAAAATGAAAATAGATCTATATTTATCACCCTGCACAAAACTAAAGTCCAAGTGGATCAAAGACCTCAACATAAAACCAGATACTCTAAATCTGTTAGAAGAAAAAGTGGGGAACAGCCTAGAACTCATTGGCACAGGAGACAACTTCCTGAACAGAACACCAACAGCACAGGCTCTAAGAGCAACAATCAATAAATGGGACCTCATGAAACTGAAAAGCTTCTGTAAAGCAAAGGACACTGTCATCAAAACAAAACGCCTGCCTACAGATTGGGAAAGAATCTTCATTAACCCTTTATCGGACAGAGGACTAATATCGAGTATATACAAAGAACTAAAGAAGCTGAAAAGCAGCAAACCAAGTAATCCAATTAAAAAATGGGGAACAGAGCTAAACAGAATTCTCGACAGAGGAATATCGAATGGCAGAGAAGCACTTAAAGAAATGCTCATCCTCATTAGCCATCAGGGAAATGCAAATCAAAACGACCCTGAGATTTCACCTTACACCCATCAGAATGGCCAAGATGAAAAACTCAAGGGACAACACATGCTGGAGAGGTTGTGAAGAAAGGGGAACCCTCCTCCACTGCTGGTGGGAATGTAAACTGGTACAACCACTCTGGAAATCTATCTGGCGCTTTCTCAGTTAGGAATAGTGCTTCCTCAAGACCCAGCTATACCACTGCTAGGTATATACCCAAAGTTTGCTCAAGTACACAAAAGGGATATTTGTTCAACCATGTTTTTAGCAGCTTTATTTGTAATATCCAGAACCTGGAAACAACCCAGATGTCCATCAACGGAGGAATGGGTACGGAAATTGTGGTATTTTTACATAATGGAATACTACTCAGCAATCAAAAAGGAGGAAATCATGAAATTTGCAGGCAAATGGTGGGATCTAGAAAAGATCATCCTGAGTGAAATATCCCAGAAGGAGAAAGACAAACACGGTATATACTCACTTATATAGACCTATAAGATATGATAAACATAATGAAATCTATACACCTAAAAAAGATAATCAAGAGAGCAGACATGGGGTAAGATGATCAATCCTCGTTTTGAAAGACAGAGGGGATGTGCATTGAACATTGACAGGAGTCTACTGAGCGCATTTGAAAGACTCTAACTAGCAGTGTTTTCAAAGCAAAGACTCATGACCAAACCTTTGGCAGAGTACAGGGAATCATAAGAAAGAAGGGGAGTTAGTCTGATGAGGAAAGGATAGGAGCTCCACAAGGACCAAATATATCTGGGCACAGGGTCTTTTCTGAGACTGACATGCAACCAAGGACCATGTATGAATGTAACCTAGAACCTCTGCTCAGATGTAGCCTGTGGTAGCTCAGTAACCAATTGGTTTCCCATAGTGAGGGGAACAAGGACTATTTCTAACAGGAACTCAATGAATGGCTCTTTGGCCTCCCCACCCCCCAAGGGAGGAGCAGTCCTGTTAGGCCACAGAGGAGAGCTTTGCAGCCAGTCCTGAAGATACCTGATAAAACAGGATCAGATGGATGGGGAGGAGGTCCCCCCTATCAGTGGACTTGGCAAGGAGCACGTGGAGATGAGGGAGGGAGGGAGGGACAGGGAGGGAATGAGGGATCGGGACAAGGCTGGGATACAGAGTTAATAAAATATAACTGATAAGAAAAAAAAATTAAAAAAATAAAAAATAAAAAACTTATTCACCTCAATTTATTAACTAAAAATGATAATAAAGTCATAAATGCCAAAAAAAAAAAAAGAAAACCTCAAGGAAACAGTTTTCTAGACAGAACAGGCCAGTTTCACCTATGAACTCATAGTAGTTGTGACAGCATGCAGAAGACTTACACACGCTCAAGCCCAACAAATTTCCCAGCTTAGACATGGGAAACTGGTACAAAGTTTCACCCCAGGCTTAGAAGCTATGGGCAATGGATAGCTGCTGGGTCAGGGACAGCCACTTTATTTATTTATTTGTTTGTTTGTTTGTTTATTTTTAGTGCTGTGACTGCAACCTCCACATAACTCAAAGTATAAGAACAAGTTGGACTGGATGCCTTTTTGGTTTGATTTTTGGTTTTGGTTTTTGGGTTTTTTTGCTTTTGTTTTTTAAGTGGGCATAAAATTGAGTGTCTAAGGAAGGGAATGTGGATCTGGAAAAATTGAGGGGAGGAGGGAATATGATCAAACTACATTATACGGAATTCTCAAAATCCAGTAAAACATTTTAAATAAAAAGTAATTTTAAACAAGAAAATGTTTACTTACCCTGCAACAGTTTAGTTCCTCTGCTGTTAGTATGATTGTTCCACACTTCCTGCCCGGAATTCCCCTACAACAGTAAGATTATAGGTAGCTCATTTAGATTTATATTAAGAAATTATCTTAATTAATATATCTTTAGTTGATATAACCACATAAAGAGCCTCCTACTATTATTGAGTTCAAACCGAGTGCATTCCAAGCCTCTTCGTTTAGTTTGTCCACAGATCCACAATTCCTAATGAAGGCAATTTCTAGACATCATAGACAAAATGCCAGGCCTCTGTCTGCGAATAGCCATGTTCGTCTTGTTGTCTAATATACAAGTAGCATGATGCAATACAACAAAGCTTTCTCTTGCAACGTCTGTTTCCATACGACAGAAACCCAGGTTCCTGGCACCTCTCTCTCCATTCATCTAGTGGTTATTCATTTGTCTTTGTCTCTCCTGCCTGTTCATTCCCAGGGTGGCACACTACAGCTTGTCTGTTGTGACTCTCCCTTCAGAGTGCTTACACCCTTCAATGAAGTTTCATTTATTTCAGGACCATCATTACTCTGTTATGTACTTTAAAAGTTGGAACCACAGGGGTTAGCATGTAGTCATCCCTATACTGTAAACATAAATGTCACTTTTGTTTCCTCATATGAAGCGATGAGATTGAGAACTGAACCCATGCTTTGTGAATACATGGCTTGGACTGAGCTCAAAGCATTTCTATCTAAGTATCCCTAGGCCTAGGCCTGGAAGCTTCTGGCCTCCATACAATCTAATGTTCTGCAAACCTGAACCTTGAAGGCTTCATCTTCCAGCCTCCATCCACTACCCTGGACCTAGAATGTTTCAACTTCTGAGATTTACTGCAGAATAAACTCACTATATCTCTTTTGAACAGTGGTTGGCTGGTTCTGTTCAGCTGTTCTGGCTCAAACTACTCTGCAAGCTGACTGATTCAAATTGGATTCTCCAGACTTCTGACTGAGTTGCTCTGCTTGTAAAGATTGCCTCTGTATTCCATGAACTGAACTTCTCTGAACTCAACTGCAACTGTACTCAGTGAACCTCACTGAACCTCACTGAACTAAACTGAACCCCCTTCTCTCTCCCTCACTGTTCTTTTTTTTTCCTGGCCACAAACTCACAGAGATCTGCCACCCTCTACCTCCAGAGGGCTGGGATTACAGGCATGTGCCACCACACCCGGCTGGTAAGTTCAATGAGAGCAAAACTTGAGACAAAGTCCTTGCCTCAAGTTTAAGAGCTGTATGTACCAGGTGCTCAATATAATCAGTGGTAATATCCTTAAGTTCAACTCACCAAAATAAAATTTCCACTCAAACCGTCTTTCTCCGGGTCTCTGTTTTACTTATGCTCATTTGCTTTTAAAAGACACTAAGAGCCATGCCGACCAGGAATACACAGGAAGTGCACACGGCTCACCTGCTATGTTTTGGAGAAACGTTCCCCAAAGTCCAAGTGTTACATTCTTGATCTATGGGGTGGGAGGTCACCACTGGGACCCCCAGCTTTTAGTGCTGGGAGACGGAAAAAGTAAAGGTCATAGAGGGTTCATTCTCACAAAGGAGGTGGGACCAATGTCCCTTCTAGTCTCCCTCACCTTCCAGCTGGTGAGGTATAGGTTGGCGATGGGTTTTCTTGATAAGATTCACCTTCACTGTCTCTTGTTGCCGGAGGTCTAGTACCAAGCTCTTAGACAGGAATCTCCAGAGCGGATGTTCCAAAAGAAACATTTTCTTTTTACAAAGTAATTGCATCAGCTATTTTTGAGATGTAACTGATCCATGTAGTTCTCTGACTGTAAGGAAACAGAGAACCATCCTTGCCAATCCTCCAGAAAGCCCTCCTCGCACTCTAAAGGTGTGTCCTTTGACAAACCACACAACCAGTGTATCCTACAAACTACACAGGTAGACTCAGCCCAAGGTTGGTTAGTGTCCTCAAGAATACAGTTCATTCCTGAAACTCACAGTATTTGTGCAACTACCTAGAGTCTTATTTTCTTCCCTGGGGAAAAATGTGAGGAAATGGGCAGCTAAAATCTTAGCAGTTGTACAAATATCAGTGTAAATTATGCTTACTCCAAAACTGTTCTGTTTTCTTCCTATCGGCAAAAAAATCTTTCAGAAGAGACCATTCCAGTTTCTTCCAATGAAAGTGTCTCACTGCTAGGACCTGAGGCTGCCCACACCTTCACCCCACATGAAGTCTATATACATACATCAGGATTGTTCATTCCACTAGTCCCTCAGGACTAAGAAGTCAATTAACTGAACTTTACACATTTTTCTTTAAAATATGGATCCATCATTTTTTATATCCTTCATTTTTTTTTCTCTTTGGTTTGAAGCAGGGTTAGGGGTAGCCTCAATCTTACTATATACCTGGCAAAGTGCTTAAACTGTTCTTCTGACCTCCATTTCCCAAGTGCTGGGAATACAGGCCTGTGTCACCATAACTGATAACATCTTTAATTCTTCTAATCACTTGTTTTCCTGTCTATTATGAATAGCAAGGTTTAAATATTCAGCATTAAGGCAGAGTAAATATTCATCTCTCTGGAAATACTGAGTACCATCTGTAAAGGTCTCCACAGATGTTCTGTATGAAAATCAAAGATAAGTAGACCTCAGTCCTAGGGACTGCTTCACAGCTGAATCACTGGGCCATCCTTTCTTATCCCCCTAGTACTGAAAGAGGTTGTGCCTTTGTCTTGCCTGCAGGAGGTAGAAGGGAATCAGCATCGTAGGCTATGTCTTTCCTCCTCATTGGCGGTGTTTCTGTTTGCTGAAAATCTTAGTGACTCTCATGCTTTGTCACAGGCACGAGGCTTCTGCCCAGATCCTTCCTGGATGAGTCACGTTTATATTTTGGCTCTGGCTGAGAGAACTGAGTGGTCTAGAGTGAGTGTCTTCCCAGAGCCTTTTGCGTGGTTTCTCATTGTGATACCCTGATTTCACTGAAGTTGAATCTAGAAGGGCATGGCCACACCTTCAGTCTCCATTCTTGCCTAAACTTTCCTGACATTGACCTTTCCTGGGCACCTCCAATTATCTGAGCAGAATGAGACTTTCTCAACTCATGAAATCTGTCCAAAACAATTTAAGATTCAGGTTGTTGCTGTTGTTGTTCTTTAAAACCCTCCCATTCTTCACATACTCCTAGACTTAAAGGTTACTAACTTATTGTAATAGTCCCCACTTCCTGATAGCAAACTATGCTTTAGTTTACAGCTGCTTTAATAATGAATCCTCATCAACCTAAAGAGTTAAAATAACATCAACTGTGAGATAATTTTGTAGATCAAATTTCCAACCAGGCTGGGCAGGCACTCTGCTCACAGTTCCTCATGGCTGAAGCAGCCTCTCAAGACAGCAGGCTGGGTATTATCCTCATGCCTAGAATTGCTTACCTCCTATCTGAACAACTCTGGCTTCATCTTTTACCTTTCTCTCCTGCTTTCAAGGCTCCACATGAGGACATTCTATGTGGTGAAATGACTCCACAGTGGTGAGTGACCTACACTCAGCAAGGTATTGGGATGTTGATTTCCTATGCAAATTTCCCCTCCACATCACCATGAGTGCAATGCCAAACCACAAATTCACAGGAGTCAAGATCCTCCATTCCGTAATTCTCAGGTGCTACACATACTCCACACATGTTAAACATATGATAAATGAACACTATATGCATGCTAATGCATAGTACATGCATACTATTCAGTGGTTACACACATGCCACAAATATACAACATACATGTTACATAGTACACACAAAGCTCTGGATATAAGGCCACATTGCAAAAGTCACAAGACAAAATTCTGCATGCATAAAATGAGGCACGCGATATTTTGGTGTCATTGTTTATACAGTAAAAAATAGAGTATTGAATGTCTACTTACTGAACATTAAACTGTTTGTGAATTATAAAACAAATTCTTTACACAACAATGCAGAAAAGGAAAAGGTAAAAAAAAAAAAAAGGCCCCTCTCCAGATGGTGTCTAAATATATTTACAATTCATTAAGTGGATACAGCCATGAAATAAATACACCAGGCTTCTCATGTCAGTAGTTCTCACAAACTACTTAAAATCAAAACTCAAGTCACTAAATATTTATTATATGTAGTATATTATATGGTCAAGTAAAAAAAAACCACATATATTATGACTTTTTATTTAAGCAACACAGTTTAAATCAACTGACTGTTACCTTGAGCAAGCTATCTAACCACTTTGAAGCTCAGTTTCTTCACCTGACAAGTCAAAGTAATTGTGTAATTTTTATTATCACATGTGTATTGATCATGGTGCAGGATAGGCTATTCAGCCCAGTGGTAAGTGCTTGCTTAGCATGTTCAAGGGCCTGAGTTCAAACCTCAGTCACGACTGTCAAGCAATAAAAGCCAGATCAAATCAAACAACGAATAGGCCAAGTGTTCAGGACATTATAGTTTTATTATGTGTCCACATGTATTATCTACAATTGTCTGTTAATGCCAGATGTAGTATTGAAGCAGGGAATGCTAATTCCAAATACTGTAGGGTTGCAGTGGAAAATTCACTCTTCCGAATTATCTACAGCCTCGCTCACATCATCTGGTGAGTATCTGCAGGATGAGGAGGACATGCATGCTCAACATGTATTACATACATGTCAGAAGTGTAGCTCCGTAACAGAATACCACGTCTGAATAATATGTGCAATGAACTTGTAATTATTGGATTCGAAAGTGCTGTTTAATGCGTAAAAAGCTCTTATCACGGTGTGACAGCGCTAAATACTGAGTGATAGTAGGAGCTCGTGCTTATTACAGAGAAATTTTCTGAGGCTAGGAATGAGTGGGAAGTCGAAAAGAGGGGCAATGAGAGAATCATTTTGACAGAACATTGAGAGGTGATCATGATAGCCGTGGCCCTGTCTGTAAGAATGGCGGCCTCGGAACTGAAAGATTCTACAAGGCCCGTGAACTCATCAGAACTTCACTGATTACAGAGGTTTGGGAAATTTCAGGCCTGGAACCAAGCTATCTCCAGCTCTCATAGG